GCCTTCTGTGGGCTGGATACAACCAGCACTGAGCTCTCGGTCATTGAGAGTATCTTCAGGCTGAATGAAGCTCAGCCAAGTACCATTGCTACCAACATGAGAGATTCCTTGATTGACAGGTGAGCAAGACCCAGGTCTGTATAGCCAGGGTCAAAACAGGCAAGATTTTACTATAAAACTGGATGGTTTAATAACTGATTTATCTTCTTTTTTGCAACTTTTTTATTATTTTTATTTTGTTGTTTCACTTCCTCTTCCCTTTCATGGGGTTACTGACCACAGTTACCTTGTTGCAGAGGGGTTTGTTTCCTTGCAGCTGCTGAGCCTGCTTAGTCCTGTATGGAAAGTGTAGAGGAGTTTATTGCAGTCAGAATACTTCTTGTGTGAACAATATCCATTCCAACTTCTGGATACCACCTGTTTTTTTCTAGCTCTTCAGTATTTGGCTATGACATGAATGGACTTTTTTTAAACAAATGTTGTTTTAAAAGTTAAAATGCCAGTGACTTTGCCTGACATCTCGGCTTTTGATTGTTGTAACCCCTAATGTTTGCTACAAATGCCTACTACAACTACTTCTGGAGCTAAAAACGCTCTGGAGATTGCCTGCTGCTGCTTTGAATCTTTTTAATTTAAGGCTGCTGCCCTAATTACTGGGGTTTTTAAGCCTTTTTGTCAAAAGCTTTACCCAAGTTAGTTACCTTTTAATGGGAGGCAGGTTTTCTTGTTTCCTTCCTGCAGTCCTGTAGGACCTTCCCTGTTCATTGATGCATGCAGATTCTTTGACAGGATTTAGGCATGTGTATAGATGAATGTGCTCTGCATGCTTCATTTGGGCTTTCCTCTGATTACAACTCTTGGAATCATTGCTGTAGTGCTGGAGTGTGTTCTTGAACTAATTGGGCCATTGTAACTTAGTGGCTGAGTTCTCACTTATTGTAAAAGTGTGTGGGAATGGTTTATGGCCTAAGGAAAGTCTAAGGAATTCCTCAAATGAAGAACCCCTTGGGAGAGCTCTTTGCTGCCCCTGTACAGTTGCTGTATAAAGGCTGGATGTCTCTGAGCATAACAGAGCCATAATTAAACTTGCTCTGAGCTTCTGATAACTATCCAGACCAGCATGAATGCACATCTTGCCTTTGCCAGCTTGACTAGCTTGTTCTTGGGGCTGGCTGTGAGCAACACTAGGTCTGCTTCCCACTTACATGTTCTAGGAAGGGAAATTTGTACTGGGCCTTTGTAACTGGGGAACTGACTGTATTGGTGTTTTGAAATGCCTTTTGCACTCTCTGGCACTTACCGACTAAATCTCCTTTCCGTTTTCTCTTTCTAGCTTGACATGAGCAGTGTCAGTTTCTACTTTCCAGAAAGCTCCTAAGGAGTGAAGTGTCAAGCTGCACTTTGGATTACAGACATCCAGACCTTCTGATGTTGTTTCTGGAGGCCTGGCCCAAGGAAAAGGCTACAAACCCAATCTTTTGTAGTGTTTTGTAAACTGTCACCTGACAAATAACATGCATAAGTTATGAATAAGGAATGCTCTCTATCCCTTTGCTGGCATTTTCCAGTTCTTCAGCTGTGCTTTCTCGTGTTGTGATGCTGACTGTACCCTTCACGTGAGCCTGCTATATTTACCCCTGTGGCTCTTGGATATTGATCACTAGAGATTGTTTTGCCTTTAAATAATCCCATGTCAGTGTTGTCCCACACAGCACTCTAGTTCAGCACACATGGCACTGCCCTCTCTTTCCACACTCTTGCCAAAGAGCAGTGGTTTTGCTGTATGTAGACTTAAAATCCCCTTGTATGTCCAGTGCCAAGAACACAGTAATTTATGTGCCACGAAATAGTCCAGAGTCATCCCCTGCTCTCTTGCTCTGACCTGCAGCTGTTCCCCCATGGGTAGTGATGCTGAAAAGATCAGCTCTCGTTAAAACTGGACTTTCTCAGGGACAGTCCAGGGACTTCTGACAGCAGCAGTGTGTGACTGCCCCTGGAACAGTGGTGGTTCATCTGTTGTCTGGTGGTACGTGTGCTGCTGCTGAGGCACCTGCAAGAGAGCTCAGACAAGCACGATAGCCAGTGGGCTTCAGTTTGTTCTACAGGAGATAGCCACCTATGCTGGGAAACTTAGAAATCATCAAATCAAAACCACCCCATCTTGCGTTATCTCAAGAGTATCTTGACTCTCTCAAGAGTTATCTCAAGTAGCTTGAGACAAAGGTTAAGTAACACGGTTCTAACCAGTTACACCATTCAGTCAGATGTTGCAGATTTGGGAGTTTGGTGGTTGAGAACTCTGCCCTTGCAGGGGTGTGATGATGACAAAAAGGAGCTGTAAGTACTGGTTTCAAGTAGAAGATAGTAATTTGCTTCTAAACAGCTGCTGGTCACTTATCTCTTACTTCAGTTGTTTCTGCTTGGCTGCTAGAGGTGTACTGGAAGCATAGAAATCATAGAGTCATAGAATAGTTAGGGTTGGAAAAGACCTTAAGATCATCCAGTTCCAACCCCCCTGCCATGGGCAGGGACACCTCACACCAAACCATCTCACCCAAGGCCTCATCCAACCTGGTCTTGAACGCCGCCACCAGGGATGGAGCATTCACAACCTCTGGGCAACCCCTTCCAATGCCTCAGCACCCTTGCAGTAAAGAACTTCCTCCTTAGATCCAATCTAAACTTCCCCTGTTTAAGTTTGAACCCGTTACCCCTTGTCCTGTCACTGCAGTCCCTAATGAAGAGTCCCTCCCCAGCATCCCATTTCCCATCATGAGGCTATGGTTACTGTCGGGTTCTCTTGAGTGCAGGTCTGAAGGCAGCGTGGGCAGTTTTTTGTTTGGTGCTTCAGGCTTTGTAGAAGATATTGACTAAACTTTCATTTTTGTTTATTTTTTCATTTTGCCTGGATGTTTAGGGAAGGGTTTTTAAGTCTTGATTAAAGGTTGCTCCTTAAATAAAGATTGCTACAGGATCTTCTCTGGTCATAGCAGTCCTGTCTTGGATGGTAATTGAGCCAGGGATGCCATTTCCAGAGATCTCCCCTTCCTTCTGCCACTGGGGAAGCCTGTAAGCAGCTCATAGCTTCTTGCTTCTTACAGTCAGCAATTGGTGTTTATGTCAGCTTTGATATAGTGAACTTGGCACTGGCTCCAGGTCTACTCTTAGCATGTCTCAGTATTTAGAGTGGTTTCTGTAAGCTAAAACTCCCAAAGAAGCCGGTGCAAAGGAGTGAGATTTTCATTCCCATGGGAGCCTGCCTTGCAGTGTTAGAGCTGGCAGGTGCAGGATGAGACCATGAGGACAACTGTGAAACAGTAAGGGAGGAATGAGAGCTCAAGAACAGCAGTTACAAAAGGCAGACCCTTAGCATGACACAACCTGAGGCACTTGGAGCACTGTGCAGTGTATGTGCGTGTATGTGCTTATATGTGCTTTATCTCAGAGTCCACACTCTCCAGTGGAGATGCCAAAGGTGGTGGTAAGGAATGGTTAATAAAACCAAGGTGTTTGTCTGCAGTGCTGGGAGTTGCTACCATGGGGTCTCAGGGTTCTTAAAAAGGAGATTGCTGAGCTAAGAGCCTGTGGTTTATATGCAACAGGTATCTACCAACTTTGCTATCAGGCTGTGGCAGCCAACATTTGATCTCGGGTGTTACAGAGGGTTGCTGGAATTGGCTGAGGAACTACAGCTGTGCTGGACAAGAAAGTCTGGTACTATGAGAAAGACTGGAATCAAGCCCTGGGATGAGTGTGACAGGATAGAGAAGAGTTGTGCAGAGGTTTTGAGGGAGGAGTGAACATAATCACAGCTCAAGATTCAGTGCGGAAGGCACAGGGTGTGTAGCTTTGGCTGCCATAGTTTAAAAGTGTTTGTCAGGATCCCTCACTCAAGCTTTTGTGAACCTGAGTCCTCACGGTGTGAGATGGGAGATAGATCTCCTTGAGGTTTAATGACTAAATAAATGACTAGGTAAATTAGGAACAACTAATCCCTCTCACAGTGGAGAACCATCTCTGTTCTGACTGTAGTGATTGCATTTCCCAGTGTGTTTCTAACTTACCTGGAAAATGAGCCTATTTTACTGGTGATGCAATTATTTAAAGTAGTCAAAAATGGACATAGAGGAGTAGAATGTTGAGTGCAGGGTAGTGCATGTCGAGGGCTGCTCGTCGTAGGGGCTGCCACTGCTGCACTCATAGTAAATGTGTGCCAGGACTCCCTTGTGGCTGCACAAGTGGCCTGTGCTGCAGGGTGCTGTGTCCCTGCCAGGAGCACAGTGACAAGAGCCTCTTGCTGCCAGGTTAGAGTTGACAAAGCAGTGCTGTGCCCTGCTCCCCTGCGGTGGCAATATGTCCTGGAGCTGTGCTTCTGCACAGAACTGGAACATGGGCACCCGTCCACGGAGGCGCTAGTGGGAAGCAGACCCAGTCGATCCTCTGCCAATAGTTGCTGTGTTTCTGTAGCATAAACCAGGATCCCAGCAAAGAGCTCAGGGGTGGGAATATTTAGGCACTATTCCTTACATCAATATTGATGTTTGGGCCTGGAGCCGAGTCATCCCTGGACTGCCAAGGGGCTGATTTTGACAAAAGTGAGACGATAGCAGTGTGAGGTGGGTCAATTGCTCACCTGCCTGCCCCAGCCTCCCAGCACTTGTAACCGTACAGGGCTGTTCCTCAGCCCCTTAAACACTTACACACACACTGTGGCTTTACAGGAGGAGCCCCTCATGAACCAGACAGAAAAGGCACCAAGCTGCTTATCCAGTTCTTTGGAGCAGCAGTTCCTCGGGGCAGGCTGGGTTTGGCAGTGCAGGGCAGGCAGCTTGCCTTGCTGCAGCGGGGAGCCTGGCTCTGCAGAACACCACAGAGCCCACAGGAAACAGCTCCACTTGCTGCAGCCCTGGGTGTTGTGCTGTGGGTACCACTTGTAACTGAGCAAAAATCTACCCCTGGGCAGGAGGAAAGCCCGAAACAAACCAAACCAGACATTCCTCTAGGTTGTAATAACGTTTGTTTTTTAATGATGGCTGTTGGAAGTTGCTCAAAGGTTTGGGCTGTCACAGTCCCAGAAGAGATGGCAGCGTACAGATGAGTTGGATGTGCCATGTGGCTGTGGCATTCAGTGTGCATTCTACCACATACATAGTACACATAGCAACGACGGAGTAGCACGTGTGGGGGGGTGTCTAATTAGTAGCTCCGATTTCATTTGGTCCTTTGCACTCCTTCACCCATCATGAGACATTGTCACTTTTTTCACTAAAATTCAAAGTTTTGCATCTATAGCTCCTCACTTAGTTTGTAATACGTTTGTAATTCTAGTTTTTAATGTATAAACACAATAAACAGCTTGGCTATGGAAATCAAGTTATGAAGGACAAAATACAGTTTGAAACCACGTTATGCAGTCCTAATGGGCTTCACTAGAAGTCTCTTGTCTATCCTGCTTCACCATAGCAATAGTTGAGGACTAGGTGGAAATTCAGAATGCTAATGATTTTTCTGCTTCTTCATTCCTCATCATTGGAATTAGGAACATTTTGAGCATGTCTGTCATGCCTGGGGTGTTTTTCACAGCTGCCATTCTAAAGCTGCACCTTTGCTACACTAACTGGACATTCTGTGCATTGCACTGCTTGCACTCAATTCAATTGTAGGCAGAGGGCTCATGCTAATCACCTTCCAGAGAGCATGAAAAGCAGTTCCTGTGCTTAAAGGAATGGCACTTCCATGCAGGTCTGAACTTCCCCATTACACTGCACTTCAAGAAACTTTTCCTCCCCTCTTTAACATGGTGGAAGTACCAATATCAACAACAAAATGACCAAATTTGTGGCTAGGACACAACATCCTAAACCAGTCACAACTGTAAGAGGGATAAGCAGAAGGTACAGTTGTAGAAGAGACTTGTGAGGACTTGCTAGCCAAAAGTTCAGGTATTTATCTAGCTTTTACCTGGGTTTTATGTCTCTGCCAAATGTGGCTAGTGCTGACCTTGTTCTGCTGCAGGGCACGCTGCCTTTGGGCCTTGCCATACACTTGCCTGTGAAGAAGTGAGCAAAAACCAGAAGTTTTGAAGGTATATGTTTGTGACATCTACAGGGATTGGATTTAGTTTTACAAACAAGCCTAATTCTCACTGTATTTTGACTAGCTCAGCAAAACATCATGATCCCACTCCAAACAAACATTTCCATTCTCCTGAAACCCAACATACAAATTCCACAATCTAGTTACACATGCCACGTAACAACAATTCATCTTTTCCCAGCATTGTAACAGGGGCAGAGTGCAGGGTACATCTATACATGTTTGTCAGTGTATCTGCAACCGTTGGTTCATTGTTTCTTGCTGATGGGAGCTTAAAAGAACATCATGTGACATTTAAATATTATTACTTTCATGAATGGCTCCCAACACAAAATCATGAATTCCCATGATTTAGACCCAATTACTTTGTCTTCAGATTGTCCCAGTTTAGGGCTTGATGTTGCCAGGTGGCTGGTTTGGTGCTTCTTGAGCTTCTGCTCCGCACTCCTTTACCTCTTCAAGTGCTTAGTGGTTCCTCATGCACTGTGCTGAGTGGCAGCATTGCTTAGTTATGAATGTACAAAACATCTGACCAGCAGGTATTGGAAAATCATATCCAGGTCATTCCCTGGATTTTGTAATAAACTAAGATCTTTTAGAATGGTTCAGCATCAGAATGTCTTCTGCTTATCGATACTGAATTGTTCCTGTTCATAGAATTCATGATCTTCATTCATTATGAGACAGCTATTAAAAAAATGGTTCTGTTCAGAGGTGGTTTGGCTACACTGGAGAATGCTGGGTTTAACAGGGAGCACTGGTGCAGGGAACTGAAGGAAGTTTCCCAGGTCAGTTGAAACCTGTCTTGAAGACTCTGATGTTAGCAGAGTGAGCCTGTGGAGGATGGCACACCAAGACTGACACGCGACTGAGGCAGTAAGAAGGAAAGAGGCTCCACACTGCAAGGCTGCCTGTAGCTTTTCCAGTTTTCCTGCTTATTTCAGTCCCAGGCTGTCCAAAACTTGTTGTCACTGAAGTAGTTTTGTTTGTAGGCTTTATTTCTTCTTTTTTTTGTTTTTTTGTTTTTCTTTTTTTTGTCCATAGTCCTTACCAGTTCCATGAGTTGAAAACGTGCAGCGGGCTGTGTCATACCCATTCCTGGACAGGTCTTTTGTAATACACAACATTTTGCTGCACCTCTTTGTTTTTAAACTGGAAGATTGTGTATACCAAGACAAGGATACACAGAGACAAAATGCAAGGGATCACGACTGCGATTGCATTTACAGTGCTAGGCACATCGTTTATTGTCACCATAATGTCCACGTCGTCGTGGGGGAGGCGTCTGTCTTTGCTTCGTTCAACATCCTTCTGGTTACAGCCCATCCAGTCTTTGAGGATTGATCTGGGGTAGCCTGGCTCCACAGTCAGCTGCTGGTTATCAAACTTCCAGTATTCCTTCCCTTTGTAGAAGTAGGTATAAACTAGGAGACAAAACAGAGAGGATTTCTCACCACACCATTTCCAGCTGGGTAAGCTGTGCTTGTGTGAGGACACACAGACAGCCTGGAAGGCTGCAGATGGCTGCCTGCACTGATAAAACACAGCCAGGTTTGGGGATTTTGGATTCCAGAGCACCCCAAAACCACTGAACGGTGAAGGTGGTTTTGGAGCTGGGATTTAAAGGAGAAGCCATAACCCTGGCTTGTGGGTGCAATGCTGCTCACAGAGCATTCATTATTCCCCCTGGCCAAGACAAGCTGTGAATACAAAAACCCCAACTAACTTTAAAGTATGTTCTGCAGTGAGTTATTTTTCACTAAAGCATCTGTCAATATGAAATAAGACTGAATGAGTCCTTTTGGCCACAGAATCCAGAAGATGCGGCATTTGTTAAGAAGCACTCTTGTGCTACTGCTAATAAAAGGCTGATGGTTTACGCTATGCGTTGCCTGAAGTGCCCAGATGTCTCCTTTTCTAATCCCTCTCAAGTGATTAGGAAAAAAAAAAGGCAAATGGAACAGTGGTGGAAGTGTTGGGTCTCCTGCATCCATCCTCCAGCTCAGCTCTCAGTGCACTCCTCCAACCCAGCCACACAGCCCCAGATTTAAACATAGCCTCAATGGCACAAGCCCCTTCTGTAAGTTCTTTCCCCAACTGGAAGAGGAGGAAGGAATCTTCAAATCAGAGAAAGAAATGTGCTGGAAGGAGCCTCTGGAGGTCCAACCCCCTGCTCAGAGAATGGCTGCAGAGTACATCAGGCAGGTTGGAGCCTGTAACAGTGACTAAGCTACAGGCAAGAAACTAGGAGGAAAATGTAAGATACAGCATCACTGTAATCACAGCCCAGGAAAACCCAGGTAGGGGCTGTTGTGGCAAGCAAAACTCGAACAAGTCCGCTTCCCAGCCCCAGAAACAGCATTAGGATAACACAGTTTAGCAGCTGAGGAGGTACATGGGTTAGGGTGAGGTTCAGGGAGGCTCTCAGACTGTCAGTGCCTGCAGTGCCACTGTGACCCTAGGACATCTGAGACCTGATTCCTATTTCACACACCCCAAATCCAGCCACCCAGCTCCCAGGGTAGACAAGCTATCCCAGCTCTAACAGGAGTAATGACTGCAGATACATACAGCCTTCTTTGCTGATAAAAGCTCCCTGTGGAGCCTGAGGGATTCCTCTCCACACGGTGATGGGCTTTGGGTATCCTGGGTCCGTTGCTCTCTTGTCCTCGTTGTACCTCCAGTACCTGTCTCCTTTGAAGAAGTAGGTTTTGCCGACGGGCTCCCAGCGCAGGGCCGTGTCGATGCCCTCCCGGGGCAGGCAGCTCCCCAGCTCCACCAGACTGTGTGGGTAGCCCGGCTCTGCTGTCACTTCTTTGAAGACCCAGTATTTATCTCCTGGAGGTGAATGGGGACACAAACAACAAACAGATTTGCCTAATTAGTAGCTGAATGAGCTAAATGTAGAATAGCCACAATGAAGCACAGCGTGTGAGGACTTCCAGCCTTAAGTGTATTATGTGAAAAATCTGCTCCTCCTCTTCATTTTGAACCTGAAACCTCCTGATTCCATTTGCTGCTTCTCAGCTCTTGTTTTGGAAGGGATGTTAAAAAACCTTTTCCCATTTACCTTCTCTAGACCAGTCATTTCAGAGACTTCCTTCACACCCTGTCTTTGTCATTCCTCATAGAGGCTGAGGAGCTCCTTGCAGGATGTCAACCCACACTTTTTGATCATTTCTGTTGTCTTTCTCTGGGCCACCTCAAGTTTTAATACAGTCTTTGAGCTGAGGGATTGAAGACATAAATGGGGAAGACAAAGTACTGTGGTTTTGTACAGAGCCACTCCTCCTTGCTTACAACTTCCTCTCAGGTTACAGGACCCTGTTCAGATACTGTCACAATGCAAGGAGCTAATGTGGGGCCCAGCGTAAGGTTGGACATTTTTGTCTCTTTAGGAGACAGCTGTCCAGAAATGTAGTTTGGGCATGTCCTGTACCTGGAGAGGCCTTAATGCCTCGCCAAAACATGTTCAAGGAAATAGGCAGGAGACTCCAGACTATCCTGCCTATCACTCCCTGGGTAATAGGAGCTATTTCTTGTCATCATATGGAAGCCAACTTCCACTAATCAATATTAGCTTTACACAGAGATTGTCCTGGCAAGGCCAGCCCATGCTAAACTATATTTTAAGAATTAATGGCTGCTTGAAGTGTCCCCGTGGAAAAGGACAAGGCTGCAGCGTACCTCTCTTCCCCATCTTCATGCCGCAAGGGTGTGATGTGGGGCAGACGAGGGAGGCTGGTACTGAAATGTACTGTACCTTTGAAGAACACGAATTTGCCATCAGAGCGCTCATAGGCTGCATCAATCTTTGCGGGGAGGCCCTTCCAGAACTGCTCGATTTGCATGGGATAACCCTCCTGCACCCGGTTGTTGCGCAGCCGCCAGAACCAGCGATCCTGAGAAAACCAGAAGCCTCTTCAGACTGAGTGTTTCTATCTTGCAGTCAAACCAGGCTGAGCATCCAGCACCAAGCATTGCTAATCCCTGCCCAGGCCCCACAACCATTAAAGGCAGAAGTCCCGGTTCAGGTGACAGCTCCAACCCAGCCCAACACTGCCTCCAGTGAGGAAAGTGCTCCATGAAGATGGCAGCCAAAAGGGTGAGAAGTTGATTGCTGGTGCTGTGAGAAAGGGTGGAAAGAAGGAGAGGAAAAAGGAGCAGGGGGAAGCAAGTGCACAGTTATAAGTGTTATGAACTCGCCTGTGAGTGACCTCTCTGCATGCCTCGTCACTGAGGTGCCACGTGTCCTGGTACAACTGGTGCTCTGCCATCAGATCCCAGGAGAGCCACACAGCCCTAACATTACTTGGGACTGTGTGAAGCACACAATCCAAAGGCACAAAGGAGTTATTAAAAACCCTTTGAGATCATCAGTTAAAGCCACAATGGATGCTCAAGGATGAGTAAGAGCAGGACAGGGCCTGTGAGGCTTCTTGCAGATACTGTCCCAGCCTTCAACTACTTTCAATTCAGGCTGTTTCTCCAACTGACGTGGTCTGTCTGTTTCATGACCTTCAACATATCCCTCTCCACATTCACACCACTGGGCAGAGTGAAAGCCACCAGTATTTCCATGTTCGAGGCACTCTAATGTGGGTTATTGAACAAAGCCTCTCCTTCCTCCCTGCCTGTATTTTACAAGCAAGGTTGACTCAAACTCCCCAGGTAAGCTGAGTGCTCCCTGAAGGCCCAGGTTCCACACATGCCATCTCTGGAGGCAATGAGGCTCAGTCTCTGGTTAGATACTGGTATTCTTTTCTGGCTTTACAGGTGGCTCCTCTCTGAGCCTGATGGTGTCTGAATTCTCTGCCAGTGCGTCTAGTTCACATTCTGGTGCACAGGCTGCCTGGGTGTTTTGGGAATCCCATCAAGCACTGTTTCCAAATGTTACAGAGCCAATCTATTTGTCCTTTTAACATTGCTCTTTCAGCAGCCTCACAGGAACAGAGCTATTTCCACAGACATTTCAAATCTTACTACCTTGTACTTCTATTAATCTTTTCCAGCAATAAATCTAAAGACAGACTCATGGGTAAGCAGGAATTCTTAGTACCTTGAAAACAAACATTTCTCCTCTAAAGAGAGCCACGGTGTTAAAGTTGCCATCACAGATGTTTGGTTTCGAGCCAGGAGGAGACGGCCTATCACCCAGAGGAGGACTAGGAGGTCTTGGTTGTCTCTCGTGTTTCCTTTCCGAAGTAGAGTGAATTCTGCGAACAGGAAGAGTTGGTAAAGGCCTGGTTGGCTCCAAGGGCTCAACAGGAGGACCTAGAAGTGAAAAGAAAAATGTTCAGCAAAGCGGAAACATTTGGATTTTCCGTGCTTCCCTTGTAGCTTTCAAAAGGCAACGGGCTGGATGAAGAGCATGGCGAGGAATTTACACACTCCTTATGCAGAGCTCATTCCCTAGAAATGGGGAACAGAACAAGATGCATCCACATGTGAAATATGTCCCAAAACAGATGAGCAATAAGAACTGAAGAAGAGCCAGTACGTTTCTGTAGGTCTTCCCAAGGAGGCTGGAGCTAAAAGGAAGGAGCAGCCACACCAATCATGTTCCCAACTGAAATGAAAGGTTATAAATAACCCTTGAATAGAAACCTTTAGTAGACCATTAAAAAAACCCAAACAACCCAAACACACGCACACAAAAAACCAAACCAGCAGAAAACATCCCAAACCAAAACCCAAGCAAAAACGGGAAAAAGTCAGGGTGTGAAGCCAATGCTACCATCTAAGGGGAACTACAAGGGAATTCAGAAATAAGAAAGCAATTCCTTTACTGCAGTTTAGTCACTAATCTTTGCTTTCAGAACACTATGGGAACTGATAAACAGCTTTGATAAAGGACCATGTTCTGACTCACACGTTGCCCTTTGATCCTTACCCAGCTCAGCTTTGGGACCTGGCAAGGCTGAAGGATATAAAGAGTAATAACAACACAAGTGACTTGAAGCAGAGCTCTGTTTTTAAACCAACTCTGCCACAGGATGGTTTCACCAAGTTAGTGATAAAATCTGGACCAATCTCATTAAGAATGTCACAGATTTCTTGCTGCTTCTCAGAGAAGGTCACAGGTTAATATGGCACTAAGCAGAAGGCTACTGGAAGCAAGAGATTTTACCATGTTTTATGTCTGAACTAATCAAATGGGATTTGATTGTTTATTTGCATGGATTATTGTTTCAATACTGTGTAGTTCTCATCCCCCTCCATTCTTAGCTGTTCTGTGCCCAGTATCTTAGCAGACCATAAAGATCTTCTAAATAAAATTCCCAAATTGTGATATTGCTCCTGCTGGTGATCTCTGAACCTTCCCCAGATGGTGTCCACCAAAGGTCTGCAGACACTGCCTATCACAGGAGCAGCAGTGTCGGACCCCTTGTTAGCCAGGCAACATGGATGCATCTACACTGGTGTCTCAGTTCAGCTCAGGAGTGTTCTTTTGCATGCTCCATCATTTGCAATTGCTGTGCTTTGATTCACACTGCAGTTCATGAAATGCATTCTTTTTGGACAAAGCTAAACTTGAAGATGCACTTCTGGAGCACTTCTGCAGCTGCAAACAGACATCACAGGGCACAGAGCTAATTCACAGTAACCACCCCCTTCCTGAATAGAGCGGGCGTCAAGTCCTCAGCATTCTATTTACTTAACACCATCCCTAAATGCTGTTTTATCTACAGATGTGCTAGTATCATTCTTGCTAGCAGCCACAGACATCATTTGATAATACAGCAATAGGCAACTCATTGTGGTGAGAAGCACATGGGCTGTGCTAAGGCATCTCCTCCAGCAAGCAGCAGGCTAGCTGGTACTACTGATTAAGGTTGGAAAGCTCTATGGAAGTAGGACTGAGTTGGTACAGTGGGATAGGCTGCAGAGGAAAGGATGGGAATGGGGAAAGAGGTCCCAGACAGATCTTACACAAAGAAAGACAGGGTTCTGGTTTGCTCAGATGGGATGTGGGAGCAGTGTCCATCTCCTGCTTTAAGAAATTAAAGGAGTAAGAAACTGGTACCTGCTCTGGCTGCCAAAAATGGCACTTGGTGCCAGTTACAGTTCTTGAATAAATGAAGTCTGAAAAGCAGCAATTAACATACTTGAAGGTAGGAAATACTTGCATTAAGGAAAGGTAAGTCTTGACTGGGACCTAAGCAAGGAAGCAATAAGCAATGACTTACTGCACACTACAGGTCTCATTAAACAGCATGATCCTTTTACTCTTGTGCTGCCAATCACAAGGCTTTGAGTGGATGTGTTTGTAAGTAACATTGAAAAAAATCTATTACAAGTCCTACATGACAGGATTCCCCTGCCAACAGACTGACACAAGGATCACCTTTCTAAAAGGCATGTTGCTACAGAAGCACAAGAGCAGTGCTGTTCATTCCCTCCCCTTTGCAAGATGCTAACGCCATGCACTGACCAACTCAGAGACACATTTCTGTTGCCACACATGGATCAGAAAAGCCTCTTTGGTGGTCAGCTTAATTGACAGTGCAGCAACTCCATCAGACAGCTGTTTGGTAGTATACATAAGACAGCCACCAGTTCCAGCACAAGAGAGATTGCTGTGTTGTGAGAGGCAGCCAGAAGCAAATTCACATCACGATTGCAAGGAGGATTTCAAGGAGCATTATTGCCTTTAAACAGAGTGAGATGTACAGCGATCTGCAATGCAGAGAGGCACACCTGCTGTTAGAGGGGATTGTCTGGGAGGGACCCAAAAAGTCACTGTGTGTCACAGATTCAAACTGCTTGCTGGAAAGGCAGAGCACGAAAGGGACTGACTGCCAATTCAGGGCAGTTCTGCTTCTCAGACACAGCAAACAGATACTCAAATCAATAGCAGCTCTGGATTTCCAGAAATAACAACCCCGAAACTCCACACTTTGAGAAGAGAGCAATGAGAAAGTTGTATAGTGCTTCAACTCTCTCATCCAGCTTATACGCCCAAAGTCTGTCACAGCCTTCTGTAGAGAAGAGGAAAGTTAAAATAGCACCTGCAACCTAAGGGACTGATGTAAAAGCTTTAATTAGCCCCAAGATGCCACTGGAACAGAATGCAGTAAACTTGCAAGGCAGAAGCACTTGTACACACTGTGGTCAGGATGGTGCAGGTCAGCAATGATTCAGGGGAAGTGGAGATTGGCATTAAATGAAACGTTTCCTAGAACAGTGGACAAATTAGGACCAACAACAGAAGCTGGGCCACCCTATGTGCTCACTGCTTGCAATGGCCAAACCAGTGTTGGTGCACTGCTCTGAAGGAGGCTCCCAGTACTGACAGGGCTTCCCAAACATTCTGCAGCTGGTACTGCAGCTTGCTCGGATCCTGACTTCATCATTTCCGTAAAAATATTTCTCTTACTGTCTTTCTCTGCAAGCCATGGATTTTCCCCTGCTATCTTTCACTTCTCTTCTTGGTTTTATGCGTCCTGGGCCTTCTAATTTCTCCTGACTGAAGTCCTATCTCCTCTTGTGGTTATACAGATTGCATTTTAATTTTTAATTGCTGCCTTCACTTTGTCACTGAGTTAGGGTGGACTTACAGATAAATGCGGAAGGTAATCCTACAGTTATGCACGTGCAAAGAGCAGAGGAGCACATACACAACAGGAAAATCCTTGGGTCCAAGTGCTAGGCAGGCAGAAGTTAGTCTACAGTTAGCGGTATGGAAAGCGGAAGCACAGCCTGTCCACTTGCTGAAGAAAGATGCTATCTTGTAAGACCTAAACCACTTCAGAGCACAACCTGGCATGAAAGCAGAAAGAACAGACCCTATACAGCTTGGCACTCATTACTATTTCCAGACTCTCATCACAGTAACCTGCCTCTGAAACAGATGGCTAAAGGCAGGATATAACAGATTTCTAAGCAGCAGAGATGACCATGTGAACAAAGAGTTACTTGAGAGATGATAGCACCTTGGTATTTATTACAGGAACTGATTACACCCACCACTGACATAACTACCCAAGCAAATCACACACAAATCACAGCCTCTGTCACTGTATTTCCAAGCAACTTCAAAGAAGCAAGTCAGAGCAAATCTCACCGAGAAAAAAATTAAATGAGAGAGGCTATTGCATGGATTTGCAACTGGGCCTGAAGCCAGTCACCTTGTTACTGCATGTCATCCCAGCACCGGAGCCAAACCCACCCCCAGGGCTAAGCCTGCAGCCACTTCCACACGGGAAGCAGGTAAGAAACCTCATGGAGCTGGAAACTCTACATGTTGGAGGAAGAAACTCGCTGGACTTTAAGACACTGTGTGAAGAAGAAGATTTTCTTCCTCTCTATCACAACCAAGGCAAAGAATGTCAGAAAGTTTTTGGGTCACAGCAGATCACCTTCAGAGTGTGACTTCCGCCACTGGCACTTAGCCTCCTCCCTTCATGCTTCCTCGGTCGCAGAACATCTGAATACCAAGGTGACCTGTGAAGATAACACAGAGAGAGGAGGCATTTAGGAGACACTGTGTCGATAGTTGAGGACAAAATATAATCGTACTGTCCTCCTGCCTATGGACAGAGTGTTCCCTCAACTGCACAACACCTGCCTGGAGGCTCAGCACCCTGCATGGCTCAGCATCCATCACAGCCAGTCCTGCCTGAGCGGGGAAGCTCTCCAAGCCTGCCAGTGCAGGGGATGCCCTTTGTTTCAGACCAGGAGGGATAACATTCCACCTGCAAACAAAGGCTCATCTTTATCTTCTCGCTATTCACTCCAAGAATAAAACTACTATCCAGACTACAGGCAGGCACTTAGGCTTCTGAATAACAAGGAGGGGTTTTTTGGTTGTCAAAGGCTGAGCTGCCTGCATGTTTCTGTGGGATGGTATCAGCTGTCCAGGTACACAGGAAAGGCTCCTCATTTTCAAACCAAAATGTATGATCCAAAGGAGCCAGGGAGGGTAAGAGAAACCCACCTGGCTGTTCCCAAGGGAGGGTGGTCCCTGTTCATATTAGATGAGCTCAGGGACAAGAGACAGTCCATCCACAACAGCTGAGCTCAGGAAGGACTCATTTCCTTTGCTCACTTGGTAAACCTGTCCACAGGGTACTTTGCACTGCTGGGGTTAGACTTCAGCAGTGAAATGAGCTGGCTATTTCAGAAGGTTTGGGTAGCCTTGCCACAGTGCTCTGCAGTCTGCAGAACAAGTCCCAGCACCCACAGCATACCCAATGGTTGGACAGTTGAGGTCCTTGTAATCATCAGTGGGTGGCAGGAAGGCTTTCTTGAGCCCTTCTCGATAGATGTTCTCTGAATGACCAGCTGCCACCCAGGTGACAAGAGCGTTCACCTGGGAGACCAGAGCCCATTGCAGAGCCCTCCAGGCATCAGGTGGACTCCAAGGACAGCACCAGAAATCAGGCGGTTACTCCCTGCCTGTTCCTTGAAGGAACAGGAATGGAGACCTGGCATACAGCAGGTGAGACTCAGTGGACACACAGAGGTGGACGCTGGTATTTCCTGCTGAGTCCAACAGGACAGACAGTTGGACAGGAAGAAAGATGCAAATGAAGGGATGCAACATGGAGAGAGTCTGGTATCTCTGGAATACGCCAGGGATGTGGCACGGGGGCAGATACCTCCAGCTCTGTTACTGCCATGCATTTTCCTTCCCCTGCCCTCCTACAAGCACAGCACCATAAGGCATGGATCCAAAAGTCTTCTATAGATAAGGCCTTGGAGGTTATTCTATCCTCTTCCCATGCTCACGAGGACATTTTAAGAAAATGGGCCTATATCTAACATTTCCAGGTCCTGCACAACAGCAAAGCTTGCTCTGATGGCCCCATTCACAATGTGTCATCACGTGGAGCATTTTGCATAGTCTTTCTGTTGTTTCATCACAAGCCATCTCTACACATACCTGTAGGTTACAAAGATTTGGGACTGCTCTACGGGCAGCCACTAGGAAAAGGTGAGGAAGGCTGAGAGCTGTGCTTGCTGCACAGGAGTAAAGAGGCTGGCAGACGGTGCTGTTTGCTCATGGACACTGTACCCTGCTGATCCCCTGTTCCTGGATGTCAGAGCTGGTGCTGTCTAGCTCCTTGGCCAGGGGCTGGGGTAGTTTCATGACAACCCTGGACCTCAGCCCTCATGGGATGCAGCATGTACACTGGCTGGGAGCTGTTCTCGAGCTGAAAAGACGTGTAAGGTTGACATGTCATCAGTGAGATTTGAGATGACTCCGACCCTTAAGGTTGTCTCCAGGCTTAACGATTTGGTCTATCTCTGAGTTGTTAGCAGACCTCTCCTTTGTGACCTCAGGCTCTGAAAGGGCCTTGAAGGTAATGGCCTGGTTTACCAGCTCCAAGCATCCATCTGGACATGAACTTTTCCTGCACATCATGTCAGCCCCTCTGCTCCCCAGGCACAATGTCCGAAGAGTCACTCCTAACATGACAGGGTGCTCCACAGCCTGCTGCTAAACAGTACTTAGAGCAGGATGTACTTAGAACAGGAGAACCAGTGCTGAAGGATGATCAGTTCAGGCTATGTGACAAGACCATGGCTTGTTTCCTTTCTCCATCTGCACTGTAGCTGCATGCTGCCCTGACTTCAATACTAGCAAAATTAAAAGAGGTAGTCACCTTGATAGGATATCCTATACAATATTCCTTCCTGGGCATGTCACTTGTGACATGGATATTAAGTACAGTGGGAGATATCCCTCTGAAACACATGTAAAGGACAGTCATGCTACTTCCCTCAGGCTACAAGAAGCATTTTGCAGAAGATGGGACTACTGCTCACTTGCCTTACAGTCCACTGTGTCACACACAGTGAGCTGCTGGGCTTTTCTTCCTTAGCTCATAATTGGAAATAACATTTTAAACACTGACCTTACACTAACCAGCATGAAGCACAAACAAGAGTTCGCATTACCTACTACCTGTTTAGGTGAGTCTGGAGATAAAGCCAGCAGAAAATAACTGCATTCAATAAACTGCTGTATGACAGATTTTGACATATTTCTTTTCTAATGTACAGACACAGATACAATGTAAAAAAACAATTTGAAATGTATCACTCTCAAAAGAAGGAGATAAAATGGACTTCAGCTTTAGTAGAGCCTCTGTTGTTTGTTCTAGCAACTTTGGAGGAATGAAAAACTGGAAGTTTTAGTTGAATTTATTTTTTAGTAAGGGTGCTACAGGCAAGGCAGTGGCTCTGGCTCTATGACTTATTTTGCATAGTGGGGTCCTAAATAATATATATTGAGCAGAGGCTGCTGCACTGCAGAGAATGTCAAAGCAGCAAGAAAGCAGGAGGTTTTGATATTTGGAGAGGTGCTCTGGTAGATGGGCTTTTGGCACTCCCAAGGCAAAACAAAGATTGGCACTGTGGAAATAAAACACATTAGCTCAATGTTCCTGCTAAAGCTACAAGAAGGATATTTCAGCTGTCCCTTCTCAGTTGTAAGAAGCCCAGATGAAAAGATCCGTTCTCGTATCTCCAATTCCAGGGAGAAATATAACCTGCTTTTTCCATCTTTTCTTTGTGAACCATAAGAGTAAAATCTAGTTTTAAACTAGCCTTTAGGTTTGGACTGTAGCTCTACGCTAAGGACCAAAATCTTTACGTAGGGAATCAAAGCTCCTAATGCAGAAGCTACTCCTTCTTCTCCCTGCAGGACTACTTTTCTCTACAACCACTAACATCATCCTCAATCTACTCCAGTCCAAAGGACTTAGAGAAGAGCTTTGTGTGATTCCATGATAGTCAACAAATTAATTCCTAGTTACCACCTGCACTAGGTAGTAATTCATTCATACTGCTTTTTTCAAGCTGAGTTAAAACTAAGTATATTCTATTGCATACAGAGAATCTGTATGTGATTCTATGATTCTGTGATCCTATGTGGCTGAAGTTAAATGTCACTACATAAGTGAAACATAAACGGAGCTGCAGTGGTGGTGCTGCCAAGCGGCAGGCAGAATGGTACTGGGCCAGTGCTCTCACAAAGTGTCAGGGCCCTGAGCACACTATGAGGTCTCAATGGCCCTGACCAGCATCACCCAGTACCTCAACTGGTACTGGAGCTCCACTTGAGCTCAGCCTGGGGGAGTGCTGGTCCCCAGCTCAGCCATAGCTGAATACTGGCTTCAAACACAAATGTGAAACAGCATGGCTGTCAGTTCCTCATTTGCTCCCTTTCCAAAAGGTGTCTGAAACCAGAGAAACCAGCAGCCTTTTCCTGATTGCAGCTGCACTGTCAGCAATAAATTTAGATTATTTGTTTTCTTCCTGATTAGTCAAAGTTCACAGGAACTACATCAACATTTCAAACCAGAAACAGCATAAAGACACTTCAGCAGCTTTCAAAAATCAGTATTTTGAAAGGTATATTATTTAACGAAAAATGTAATACTTACTACCCCAGCACTTTCCTTCAAAACCATCCAGAGTCTCTGTTATCCTGGGTATTTGAGTATGTACTATGTTAAAGAATGCATAATTAAATGATACCATAGGACAATTGCCATGCAACTTCATCCTGGTAATGAACAATAAAGAGAAATCTTCAGCTGTACTAACGGGAAGAGATAGCTCCCACTGAGTGCACTTAAAGTAATCTTACTTTACATGTTGGACCTTACTTGGGTATCTGTCTTACACAGAGGATGAACGGCATTCTACAAATGCTTGGGTTTTCCCCATTGTCCAGACAGGAGTCAGAGAAACCAGCCCAGAAAGAGATTTATTTTCTTTAGGCATTTGCATTTGAACAAATGAATCTCACTCCAGCCACAAAAAAAAACAACCCAAAACGACCAACAACAAAACCCAAACCAAACCAAACAACCCCCAGACTCAAGCAGTTGACAGTTTAGACCTCTGAAGTCTTGCTGTACTGCTTAGAGCCTTACAGGTCTTGGCACAAATCCTAGACAAGTAATTTAAAATGCACTGACAGATCACTGATGTAAACCTTGACTAGCGCCAGGTCTGCCACTGATCCCAGCAGGAATCCCTTTCCCACTGACAACCACCTTATAAGGGGGTTTCTAGGTCCAATTCATACAATACATGCTCAACTGATACTCGGAGCTAATACTTGACTCCACATGTCAAGTAGCTGCAGATGTTGCCCAGCTACGTAGCATAGTTGTTCTATGCTACATTTATTAACCTCTTAGTCAGATTTGTACTTTCCTCAAAGAATGAAATCAGGGATGTTTGACAAAACCTGTTTTCCATGGGCTGCCACAGACTGCATCCATTAGTATCTTCTAGCTCAGCCTCCCTTTCACTGTGGCTCCTAAAAACCTGCATTCCCCTCTGCTCCCAGAGTCTCCCTGAGCCAAGAAGTCTCTCAAAGTCCCTGTCCCCACACCCTGGTATCCATGATCCCATCATACGGTAGCACATCGTCTCCAGCCCCCTGCTTTTCTCTATGCCTTCTTTCCTCTCTTTACCTTGAGCCCATATCTTTGTGGCACATGTACAACAATGTTCAGCTGGAGATTAAAAGCATTCCCTAATTCCCTACCTTGTATATATGGAGGAAAAAAAAAAAGAGTGCACAAACACTTTTTACCTTGATGTTCCATGTTCCTTGCATTTCTCCCCTCTATTTGCACTGGCTGTTCCTAATGGACTTACTTTGGGTACAGCAATTGCTTGATTTTCCCTTTCTAATGCTCCTTGATATTGAGGACATGGTGAGGGATGGAGCAGCAGCAAGATCACAGAGGTGTGGTTATCCTGACTTGTGGAAAGATATTGCCATTGGGAGAGTTCTCCAACATTTGGCTATGGATCAAGGGCTTTAAAAAGTTCCTCACTCAGCTACAGCAGGAAACCCAGCCCACCAGCTACAAGCATTTCGCAGGTCTCCTGTCTGTGTAACATACTCACTGAACTCAAGCTCATTGTAAATAGATTACTGGGTAGCATTGCTCACCATAGATTTTCTGAATTCCTTGGAGGTCATCCTGGGGCAGTTTGAAGTTGTGTGTTTCCATATACTGGTAGAAAGGAGCCATGATAGCACTGGGATCATTGGAGTGTTCCAGACCTAGCGCATGTCCCAGCTCATGAACTGCAACCAGAAAGAGATCATTCCCTGTGGAAGGAAGGCACAGCCAGGTTAGTCCAAAGCCTGATGCAATCCCAAGCCCACTCACTCATAAAGCAAGAAGCTTTATGAGTGCTTTGCTATCCTATTGCACAGTAGGTCACGGTGCCAGGGCCAGCTCCTGCAGATGATTTTAGTCCTGAAAGTATGCACAGCTTTTACAGTCATTGTCACAGTATGGGCCGGGGGCTACTAGCCCATGACCACGAGCATCCTCAGACCAGGCAAAACAGGCAACTGCCTGGAGTGAAAGAGTAACTGTAGACTCTTCTGTAGAGAGCTTACAGAAAATGGCCAACAAAACTGGCTGCTCCAACACCACTGCCTCTGAGTGCTGCCAGAGAGATGAGCACACTGCTGCTCTTCAATTCAACACGGGGTCATGGTGGGAAGGGAGCTTTGCTCTGATCAGAGCCATGCTCTGATCCGATCTGAACCACCAAATCCTAAGGGAAATCTGTAAGTCACCTAGCAAGGTGGAAGGAAGGCTAGAGAAGACCAGGAGTAACACCCACCGTAGAATGTGCAGTACCTGTGACAACCCCATCTCCTCTAGCACATGCTCCTCAACATGCTTTTACTTTGCTGGACTTCTGGCACTGCCATGTCTGTGGGAGGAGGCGAGCACAGGTAGCATAATCCTGCAGAAGTCAGAGCCACATAGGGGAAGGTTGGGTTGGATCCCAATGGCAGAGGGGAAAAGAAGAAAGGAGGAAAGAAGGGACGTGCTCTGGGGAATAAAATAGAAAGGGCTGAGGAGCCCTGTCTGGCCCAGAAGCTGGTGGAAGTGCAAAGCAGGGGTACCTTCAACTGGATGTTACAGGCATACACTCCTCTTCAATGCCATGGATCTGGGACCCTCATCTCCTTGATCTAGTGTGGTCCCTGGATGTCTTACTTCATGAGGGCACCTTGACATGGGAGGTGACACAGGCAATGCTGTGTGAGGGATGAAGACACAGCCAACAAGGACAGATGTAAGAGTCTCCCCATGTCAATAAAATGCCTGAGCCCTCAATTCTGCCTGAATTGGGCTTCTCTGCTTCTTTTACCAAGGCAAACCCAAGACACAGGAGAAAACAGTTGGCAGTGGCAGCTCAGGAGCTGCTTTGCAGCATCTCCAGTGTGTCTCCAAACTGCACCTATCTTAGAGGTACCAAAGTTCAGTTTTGTGTACACAGCTGAGCAATTCTTAGGACAGGAGTTATAACAGCAATTCACATACAACTATCTCTACTTTTTAAATACTTATTTCTTTACTATTACCCACAAAAACATGACTATACGTAGGTTCAGGTCTGCAAGTCTCCTCAACAGGGTGCTTTGCCAGCATCTCAAGATACCTAAAGTCAGTAACAAACAGTGCTCAATTGGTCATAGGCTCCACACAAACATGATTAAATTGTTTAAATATCTGAGTTGAAGGGTGTAAATACCTGCATATGCAAGTTATGTTAAAATATACAAATGCATTTCAAGTACATGTCCAAATACACGTCGCAAACTATAAGTGGGCTAAAATTTAGCCATAAATGTATTAAAATTCTAGAATTTCTGTATTTGGGAAATCCAAATGGGGACTTCCTTATTTTTTCTCATCTGGTGCTGAAAACTTTGGTGCATGCAGATCAAGTAAATAAAAGTGTCCAACAGCATAGTATAAGATGCATCAAGCATGAAGCTCCTCTGATTCTCAAAGCTGTGGCTGCTTCTCATTTCAAGCACTTGCTGAAAGGCAGTAGAAGGCAGTAGCAGACACAGCTCCCTCTCCTTCTTCCCCCTGCCCTGATCAAAAATGTCTCACCACTGTGTCAGCTCCTCATCTTTTTTTGTTCTAGTCTTATCCCAAACATACCCATCGTTCTCTTCCTTCCAGCTTGCCTATGTGCTCATGTCATCTGACTTCTCCACCCTACTATATACAGGGTCCCAAGTCTGAAAGCAGTTCAGTCATTCTCAGGGTGTAAGTGGACAGCATACATTTCATGGGAAGAGGAGACAGGAGAAAAAAAATCCAAGACCCTTTTGTAAGCACAGAATGCTCGAACACCCACCTCTAGATTTACCATCCTATTTCTCTTGAGGGGTCACTTCCCTGCAGAGGTCAGAAACACCTGGTTTTATTGCAACAACACAGAGAACACTGTAGTCAGATAAACAGATTTATGTGTATTTATGTCATATACTGCATCTCTCATGCTTCTTCAATTTTCATCTTCAGATGAAAAAATGGCTGTTAAATCAGGAAACAGATATCTTGAGAGAGGTTTTCTTTGTGAAATTGCTAGCACATGCCTTCATGTACAGTTTCATTCATTTTAATTATGAAAATCCATATACATACCTTTTCCTTACTTTACTAAGTCAATGCATTAACAGGATACTCAACTGCCATTCAACTCACTCCAACACCTATCATTTACAGTAATAGATCACAGCAATACTGTTATAGCAACGTTGTAATATTACTACCAATATTTATCCCTGAGCACAACACCTGTAAATATAGCTGCAACGAGCGTAGGTAGACTCTTGTAGAGCACCTAACACAGTGGATTGTAAATCCAGGACAAAGCCTCTAAGACCATAGAAGTACCCATAATACTGCATATCTGATTAATAATAGAAAAGCAACTCTGAATCTCTGATCTTTGTCATATTAGTTCTATACTTTATTAACTGTATCATCATGCTAACACATCTATGTATTGCAGTTTACTCAGACATAACTAAAAAGACATATGAAGGTTAAATTTTGAGATTTTATTAAAGAATATACTGAAGAAGTCAGATCATTGGCTGTGACAATAGCAGGCCTAGGGTAATTACAGAAAAGATGGTGTGAACTAAGCATGCTTTAAACATACTAAAACAATTCCTTCCTCTCCAACAGCCACGTAGAGGTAATTGTTTTCCAAGCACAACTTAAAGAAGCTTTAGGGCTACTCTAAGCTATGCCTTGGTTCTTGCATCTTCACACCTCATAGGTCTGAATCATCAAACAGAAGAACATCTGATTTGTCTGTACTCCTCCGTTCACCTCCAAAACATGCTCTGCTCAAGAAAAGCTTTTCAATCTTCTGAAGACCCTGAAGAAGTGGTGATAGTGCTCTTCCATTTGTTTGCATTCGAATGAGATGTGGAAAACAGCTTTTCTACCTATAAAAGAAGAAAATACATGTCAAGAAATACAGATTTCATTTTATTCATAAATGGTTGTTGTTGTAAATGTAGTAACTGGTACAATGCCTCTTACAGACTTCATGAAAACTCTTAAAAGTGCTTTAAGAAGGCTCACCGGAGAAAGAAGAATGAGCGATATGCACTCTTAACAGAAATTGGACCACAGCCACATTAACAAATTGATCTCCATGAGATCAAGTGACTACAAAAGGACAAAGACCTCCAGAACCCCATTCCGTTACCAATCACCATCAAAGATGGGTAGTTCGCCTTACCGTCCTCAAAAAGACAGTGTGCAAACTAGACCTGCTAATCGTGTTACAGACCTGATTCACACTGCAAGCTGTGCTTTATCTGCCATGGCTATGAATATGAGGGCTATCTGCTGCAGAAATTCACAAGAAAAATATAAAGCATTTTTCTGGAATGGTGAGACCAAAACTGTCTGAGTGATGTGGAGGCAAAAGTGGGCAGCCAGAGAGAGGGGAAGTCGTGACTGCTTCAGCTGGCTCAGCAGCCTGACATTCAGTGGAGTAAGAGTGTACTGTTGAAAAATGTTCCCCTATCTTTCACAAGTGTAGGTTGTAATTCACTAACAATTCAATATCAAAGAATTTCCAATCCCAAAATGAAAACTCATATTCGCCTGTATTAGCATATCATTCCCTAATTTGGTAGAGCAGATGGTAAAGACAAGAAAATTCTCATAAAACTATGAAAAATGTAGCTATGACTTTCATTCCATCACTCTTGAAAAGAACTTATCCTGGTGGCTTTGTTTTAAAAGTATTTAAATACAGCAGGGTCTACAGACAGAATTTAATGCTTGACCCAGATGTGGTGTAACCCAAAGGTAACCACAAAAAAGATTTGGAAACTGTTTGAAAGCTGGCCCAGTGTGTTCCAAACAGGTCCTGGCATAGGCAGCACGGATACAAACCACTCTGCACTACTTGGGATTCTTTTTTGCCAGTCCAGTTGCAATCATATTTATCTCCTGGTGTCGGCAACAGAGAAAGTGATGTTCTGGAAGCTCTGAGAATTGCCCTTTGCCACAAAGAGGGTGTTTTCTATCTAGAAAAGGAGACTTCCTGTCTTTGTTCTCCCCTGACACAGAAGGTTCCTCATGAGGCTGTAAAGACTAAATAGGACTGAGAACTAAGATAACTGGGATGGATGAGATATCCCCCCCTCAAAGTGGTATTCTTGGTGGATTTAGGCAGAGAACGCAAATTAAACTGTCTGCAAATCTGCACTTTTTTTCTCTCCTATTTCTGAAGAAACTGAGTTTAAACAACTCCCAAGTTTGCCGCTCTGCTGCATTTTGGCTTGCTTCACATCCTCTATTTCTGCTTTAAAAAGGAAGACAGGAAGGCTCACCTTGATTCTCCTGACTTGCACTTTAACCGTTGGGTTTTTTTCTTCTTTTTTTAAGGAAATGACACATAATTTTGATCCTTACTGGTTCCTCCCTATGAATCTCAGAATATCTTATTCTCTGTGGAAAAATGTAAAATATTTTACTTTGATTATACAGAAATCAACAGGATTCCAAGTACCTACAGAACTGTCTTCATACTCTGTGTACTACATGATTACTGACAAAAGCAGTAATTTTCTGTATAAAACACTCTGAACATCAGGAGTAGTTACAAGTCCATTGCTTTGAAAATGGAATTTACAGGTGTTCCTTATTAATGAATTTCAGCAATTTATTAATGAATCAACAACCAGCACTGCCAATCCTGCAAAAGGTAAAAATCCAGACTGCCCCAGCACAGCCCTACTGTAATGTCACTTCTAGG